TGATTGTAGGTTGTATCCTCACGGATTATTGTTCGTTCTGTCCGCTGGTAGGTGATTGTAGGTTGTATCCTCACGGAGTGTTGTTTGTTTTGTCTGCTGGTAGTTGATTGTAGGTTGTATCCTCACGGATTATTGTTCGTTCTGTCCGCTGGTAGGTGATTGTAGGTTGTATCCCCACGGAGTGTTGTTCGTTTTGTCTGCTGGTAGGTGATTGTAGGTTGTATCCTCACGGAGTGTTGTTTGTTTTGTCTGCTGGAAGTTGATTGTAGGTTGTATCCTAACGGATTATTGTTCGTTCTGTCCGCTGGTAGGTGATTGTAGGTTGTATCACCACGGAGTGTTGTTCTCTCTGTCTGCTGTTAGGTGATTGTAGGTTGTATCCTCACGGATGCTGTAGAATGGGATGTTACCCCACTACAGCCGGTACTAGACTAATATCGCTGTCGTCATGATTTCTTTTAAATATTTAGTAGTCGATGGAAAAATACGTTATAACATGTAATTGGGATGACTGAATAATAGGGGGGGGGGGGGGGGATTGTTTCACCTATGCCACTAGAATTGATGTCAATGAAATATTTAGGAACAGTGCCTTTTTTAATGAAGAAAAAAGTTAATTTTCGCATTTTCCTCTTTTTTGCATAATGACAAGTTGGGAACTAAACTGTCCTGTTGTGTTATCGATAATATATATAACGGCAGACCCGGTAATCATTAGCGGTGCCAATAGTGGTTATGTCATATGGGTAAAGAATTGCTAATTTGTCTTCCGTTTTAAAAATTAAGACCTGGTTAACGACTTAGAAACTAGTGATTTAAAATACTATTTCCAAACAAACATACACACATGTATTGTTTTTGGTGTATACAGTGATACATAAGATTTCGACGTCATCGCTTTTTATATATGGTTTGGTTTTGTAGGCTTCCAATAATCAAATTCGTTTTTATCGAACGTATACCGTATAACGGAACTATCTATTATTAAGCGTGGTTGGTTAGTTGGTTGGTTGGTTGGTTGGGTTGGGTTGGTTGGTTGGTTGGTTGGTTGGTTGAAGGGTTTTGCGCCTACATGAATCCGCCCTTACGGGTTTCATCTCACTGACGGGAGTCGGTGGTCTGTCGGCGTGTTTAGCGTGGGGCATTGATCCATTTAAATAGGTTGTAATGGAGCGATGGAAATACAAACATTCAGAAGCTTGCATAACATCGATATATAACACAGTATTCTGACTTGAAAAAGAAAATGAATTTGATTGATGGCTGGAATGCTGGTTTAAAAAATCTTGCAGAAGTTAAAGGTAAAAATCCATACATTATGTTGTGTTACTCTGTCTACTGGTACTAAACAGCTAAATAATTGATGACAGTGACATCCTAGGGGTTTGTACCACGTATGAAACGGTAGCGTGCAGTTCGTGTCATAACCGAAGTACAAGTTGTAATAATTAACGCAGTAATGACGCTCAGTTTATCATCATCGCCAAAGCCAGTTTAACACATTACATGCATACAGTTCTTGACTTTTTACTAGGCCGAGGAAATTTCCACATAAGATACCTTAAGGGTGACGAGTCACAATAGAACAGAGTCTACACTTAAATATTTAACGATACAGGAGAGTGAATGATACTTTTCTCAGTCAGTCTTCATTTATATATTTTACGATACAGGAGAGTGAATGATACTTTTCTCAGT